AGGATTCCAAGGTGTAAATTTACCCCTTCGTAGGCGAGTGAAATACACATCGTGAGCGACCAAACGAAAAGCAAACGCGAGAAAACACACGGGGAAGATAAACGCGCGAGGAGTTGCTAAAAAACAGCCTAGTTCGAGACTGTCGGGGAACACGGTTGGAAAAAAATAAACTGGCTGCCTGCCCCTCCGGCGCGATACACCGTTGCCTGGAACACTGTCCGGCAGAATTCCCCCCTAGTTTTCTCCTAAATTTAGTATTACTACACCGTACAAGTTGGGTACCGCCGTGTTAACTCGAACAGGCTAACTATCTGATCGAAAGATGGTTCGGCGAACGACTCTTTTTTTAGAGAAAAGACCTTCGGTATTTGACGATCGGCTAACGATTTCGCGCACTGACGAAATATGATACTTCAATTTCAACGCAGTTGAGGTTATGTTATGCCAACGCGACAATGAAAAATCGTAGATAATTCGAACTGAGATAAAAAAGAAAAAAAAAAAAGCAACAATGGTTGTGGTCACGTTATTATTTAAATTGCGAAGCTTCCGCTTTCACGGTCGTTCGATTCTAAGTCGATTTTAATATCCTTATATTTAGTGTTTTAACAATTACGTACGTGGTACTTTCCACGAAAATTGCAAAAATCCAAATAGCAGTGTAGAAACGTGAAAAAAATTTCCACCGTGATTTTGATGATCGAGAATTTTAGAATTTGTTCATCGTTTTATTGAACAAAAAATGGAAGAATTAAAGAAGTCATCGAGTTCAACAAAATGGCGAAAAAGAAATCTCAACGCAAAGAGGAAACTTTCGATTCTCAACGCCACCAGTTGGTTCAAACGTGAAAATGCGTTTGAAAATTTTTACCATGTTTACATCGGCTTAAATCATCCATCATTTCTCACTGTCCAGTTGTACATTTCACACAACGTTAGACAAATTATCTTCCTGTGTTGTAACTTGGCGTTAATGATTCGGTTTAAGCGGAAGTCGCGGATACGCCATTTTGATTTAACACGGCGATAGTACAATTGTGATAAACTCCGGCATGTTTCAGAAATAGACGGAGCATTTCGTCGAAAACAAAACAAAAAAAAAAAAA